GTTCTGGATTTGGTCACAAAATTCAGGGAGACAGGTTCGGTTTTAAATAAGAAAAGAAATGTTCAGAGGAGGGTAGTGAATGACGATAATGCGATTGGAGTGATTGGTCAAGTCATCGCCAATCCCAGGTTAAGTACCAGAGGTTTATCAGCAATGGCCGGAATAAGCCATATGAGCGCATGGAGAATCCTTATAAACCACAAATTCCATCCTTACAAAATTGAACTTGTTCATGAACTTAATTTATTTTATTTATACAGGCTTTGTCAACAAGATGTTATTCTTTGATAATAAAGCATATTTTGATTGATTGATTGATTGATTGAAAGAGATTGAAAACACATATCTTTCTTAATTTTTTCAATTGACCAAATTCGTTTTCGAGTTGTGATCTTATATAGCAATTCCAAAGCGTTTCTTTTAAATTTAATGTAATATGTTTACATAATAATTTACTGTAATTCATTGAATGAATATCAATGTGACTTTAGAAAATTCGCTCTGTTGAACGTAGAAATACCTACTTCATATTGCATTTTCGCTCGTAGAATGGAAATTCGGGTTGAATCCTTCTGATTCATTTGGAACATTAACCTATTCCAAATGTCTAGATAAGAAAATAAATTGTTTGCATTACCACTAATATTCCCTTGTATCTTCAACTATATATCTAGAGTACTCACTTGAAATTACATTCGATGAGCACGTAATGTAAGTAATATTTTTATAAGCGTTTTCGATATCGTGTATATTTTCCCTTTTCCTATGGGGCCGATCGACATCAAATATTCAAGAAAATAAAGCATTATTGGTCTCGATAATATCAACAATTTCATTATTACTTCTATTAGTCAACATCTGTATTAATTTGTTTCCCTTTTATATGTATGTGTGGTATGTGCAGTGGATCGGCTTGTCACATGTTTTTTTGTCGATAAACGTTTTTGTTTTGATTAAAATACGCCCTAAATTCCAAATGCAATTATCGTTATGGAACTAGTTATTTGCAAAATGAAATAAATAATTGAATAGGACTGTTACATATGTAGGTAATATGATTTGAAACGAAATCAATTACGTTTTTCGATGAATTCGATAGATTCCAAAATTTTCCATTAGCTATGCCACTGACTTGACTGACGTTTGGATACTTTGTGAAAAATGAACGTGTCTTCAACAATGAGTGATTCTGATGTTGAAGAAATTTAGGCAGCGTGTCTGATCCGTTTTTGTAACAACTTTTTACACGTTCGACTAGCAATACACGTTGAAATTGAATACGCTGTCTTATCTCCTCAATCGTCGCAAAAAGCTCTCCTTTCATCGGTCATCTCAATCTTGGGAACAGTAAAAAGTTGCAGGGGGCCCAAATCTGGTGAATATGGTGGCTGAGGCATGATTACTATATTGTTTTTGGCCAGTCCAAGAGATATTCCCCATTTTTTGTGGGAGGGTGTTTAGTTTTTTATTGACCGATAAATAATTTAGTGAGAAATATGAAAAGAGCATTCACTATGGAGGTTAATATATATCGAAAAATATGTCAAAAGCACATTATCCTTATTATATAGTTCAAATTGATTGATAGAGGGAGAGGAAACATATTTCTGGTTCCGAAAATATTGAAAACCTCCGCCATTAATAATTATCCAATTTGATTTCATTGCCAAAGGTTACGAATGGCCGGAATGCTTTGTTGATAAAGTAATCACAAATTAATTGGAACCTTTAAAAATCACAGACGCAATTTCGCTTCGAGATGAAGATGAAAAGTATGTATTTTAATATTTGCACAAGGCTCCTAATTAATTTATATAACGAAGTTGGATGAATTAAACGTTCAAAATCAACAGTCGGTGCATGCTTATTTAACACAAGTAATTACTCGAAATTTATATGAATTTGTCAATAACAGTACGCTGGTAATGTTATGTCAGGGAGATGTTTCTCCTTTACTGATTTCGTTTTATTATCGATTCAGTTTATGCTAATTGTCACTGTTCAAAGTCACTTTCTTGGGCTTTTTTCACTGTTCAAAGTCACTGTTCAAAGTCACTTTCTTGGGCTTTTTTCTAATTCAATCTAGGTGATTACTATAATTAGTTTTGTTTTTGATTGAAGAAAATGCATATCGATACTTATCTAAGCAGTTGGTTTTTTTCGGAGCTTTGTACTTAGAAAGAAGAAACTGAATCCCGTTGGTGATTAATTTCTTGTTGAGTCGAATTACTTTTTTTGAAAACTTCAGCACATTGAACTAAATCTTGTTTTTCAAACATTTTAAAGACTGTTGCTTTACCCCCCCTGT